CCGTGGGGGTATTGGCAGGCACTTACCTGCTTTGCACTCTGTCTGTAGTTCAGGCAGCAGAGCACAAGTCTTGCAGCAAATCAACCAGCACATTTAACTAGTAGACATGCAGAGTTGCGAACAGTGCAAAGCAGGCACAAGACTAAAGAAACAGAGAATTGTTTTTTTGAAAAAAAGTATGATTAATTTTGAACTTTGAACTTTGGATTTAGTAATTTAAGTTCATAACATCATATATAACTTAAAAGTTCGAACTTTGCAGTTCAATTCAGAACGTCAGTCTGCGAGTCTTCAGACTGGCGGCACTGTCAGTTCTCTCTCTCTCTCTCTCTCTCTCTCTCTCTCTCTCTCTCTCTCTCTCCAACGGGCAGCAGAGGCGGGCGCCACGTCAAAACGGCCGCTTTGAAATTGCTCGGGCCTGTCTGAAACCCGCCACCTCAAAAACCTGCAGGCTGCAGTGTCCTGTGTCCGGACCTCTAGGCCATGTCCGATGGGGTGAAACGACACTGAAACGACACTAAAATCACCCCGTTATTTTTCGAGGGGCGGGCAGGACCCGATAAACGTCCTGGGCCGCCACATTTTCTTTTTTTTTTTTGCCCCAAGTACCTCCATCCGGACATGAGGATCGGATACCCGACTGTCTGGGACCTGGTCCGGACGTCCGGACGGTTACCATGGTTAAGATCGCGCAGAGAGAGGCAGTGGGCCTCGCCTGGACGTTGAGCCAGCTGACTTGCAGTGAAGCAGTCAGCTAGCTCAACGATGCGTGTGCCATCATTACCTCCGCGTGGGGAGGATACTCTGACAGCCCTAGGAGGACACGGACAGAGAGTCTTCATGCTGTCTTTGGCCCTGCAGCCCCAAATTCGTTTCCTCTATTTTTTGGGCTGTCACGGTGAATGCACCGAGCCAGCCGTGTGCTGGCCGTGTTCGCTTCACCTTCCAGAGAGGTCCCTGTCTCCGACTTTGCCTTGTATGAGGAGGTTCTCATTGGAACAAAGCAAACCCTCCTCGTAGTTGATCACTTACTAGGTCTTTCCTCTTATGTTTATTTTTTATCATCTCAATTAGGACGTGTATATAGGTAGTAGGCTGTCAGATGACTCAGATTGATTGATGGTCCCCCCTCCCACCCCTCCCCAGTTTTTCTGTTACTGGGGTGGTGGCTGCCACTGGCTGGTGGTTTCATGGAAATGAATTAGACTTGGCAAAGTTGGCGCGCTCTCATTCGCTAGTACGATTGGATGCTAATGGGAGGGCTACGTAATGCACTCATCCCAGGGTTTGATGGGCAGTTAATCCGCTTTTACGAGGGGATTCGATGCTGATCATCGACATAAACTATTCACGTCCGACAATCACATGTATGCTCAAAACAATAATTACAAATGTTAAGGGATCCCCGGGTGTTAGTGGTGTCTGCTCTTATCAGCACCACTATCATCGGTGGAAGTGTTTAAATTAAAAAAAAAAAAAAAAAAACAGGGATGCTGGACCCATTTTCCAGCAGGTGCTGCTCCCCACCAATAGATGGAGCCTCCCCGGGAGAGGTAGTGGTGCCTGCGCTTATGAGCAGCCCTAGCATCAACTCGGGCTGATTTCTGTAATAAAAGATAAATAAAATGAAAAAGACGTGTAAGAGAGTTTTGTTTCAATACAAGTCTTTATAGTTTTGCTGTTTTTATAAATCTCCTGTTCTTTTTTTTCCTACGGTCTGCACCCAAATAATAGAACGCCCGGTCATTATAGCTATATCTGGACTGAAAAATGACACAAATACGGCTATAATGGTCGGGTGTTCTGACTAGGTCAGACACCACTAGGACTCGGGGGGAGGCTCCGTCTATTGGTGGGGAGCATCACCTGCAGGAAAACGGGCCCAGCGTCCCTTTACAGAATGTATTGCAGAGTAGATATAGGTTGGATCAAGAGAAGTTGAGTGATCTTGAACCTTCCAGCATTGATTGCTCTGGTCACCAGAGGATTCACTGTGCAGGTTGTTAAGGGAGGGGAGGAAACCTCTTCGCCCTAGCACCAGGAGCCAGATATCTACTGCTGAAAAACTAGCCCATCCCTCCCTCTTTTGTATTTTTGAAGGTTTCCCTTTTCCTTTGAGATCGTGGACTTACCTGCCAGCATTGATTACCCTGAAATCTTCAGGGGATTGACTGTGCAGGAGTTAACAAAAGCCTGACAAAAGCCTGGCTACCATCATTCATCCCTGGTTAGTTCTTCTTTGCAAGCAAGAGCACCAAATTCCAGTAGTGTCTTCAGTGGACCGGCACGATGAACAAGGGGGCGAGGAGGCGGGTTCTGCTTCCAGGGGGCGACTGGAGCAGATTATCAGTCCTCCCGATACTCTTGTCCATCATGGTTGGTTCACAAAAGTCACTATTGGAGAGGTTGCCCTGTGTCACGGCCATGATACCAGCTCAATTCCATCAAGACATTGTTGGGTAAGGGAAAGAGGTCAGGGAATTCAGAGGCAGGGGGGAGTGGGATGTTGCTGGGAATTGCAGTCCAGTCGTGGAAGGTCAATCGGTATTTTTTCTGCGATGTGTCCAACCGATCGTTATCATCCAGGTGCCAGCCATCCCACTGAATCTTTGCTATCCATCCTCCCTGTTCCCCCCCCAGCCAGTCCATGCAGAATTCATGTAATCTGTGGACAATGTCCGATCTTTTTGTGAGAGCTCCCTTTGCTTGCACAGTTTTTTTCCACTGGGCTCTGGTTGTTGTTTCTATCATGTCTTTAATCATTTCCATCATCTCGCCATTTTCCACATGAGCGCCTTCGAGTGCTAGGGTGCATATGCGACGCCATACGGCCCATAGGACCGCGCCACTCCCAACCTTGAATAAGTTGGCCGTAAACGGCGTAAAGGTCGATGTTTGAGCAGTCCAATGACCGGTTAGCAAGGCTCTCCATTTCCACGGCCAATCACTATCTGTGCCTAGCTGGTTCCAAATCCGAACCCACCCCTGCCACATCAGAATTGAAGCTGGGCATTGCAAAAAAAGATGTTCTATTGTCTCATTAACCTTACGAGAAGGAAAAC